TTGCCCCGTTGCTTTCAGTACTCTTCAATCAGCAAATTGTTTTTCAAGAATTATATCTTCAATGAGTTTGTGGATGGCTCGGTGGTTCGATGGGCAAGGCACTGGCACGCTAATCTGGAGTTTACAGGTTCGATCCTGGTGTTTCCCTGGATTTTCCGGCGTGGTTTCCCCCTTGTTAGTGATGCAGGGCGGAGACCCTGTACAAGTTAGTGTGCACGTAAAAGAACCCTTGAATGGAATTCGGAGTAATAGTTGGCCGTACCGCCGCTATCCAGGCAACATTTCCCTCATTGTGCACTGCACAGCGTATGCCTGTCTTCAGTAGCGTTGATGGAGCAGAAACGTAGGACGTTATACTCCATTTCATTGCATGTCAGTGTGTATATATAAAATATTACCTGGATTCATTTTATACATAAATAAGGTACTTCTGATTGTTTAAATAGATGTCCTTTGTCAGTGAAACATCTGGGGTAGACAGTATACATTAGTCTTTCATTATTGTCCAACTAGACTCATTAATTGATTAAGCGTTTTAACGACTTCTTGTAAGTAGGCGAGTAAATTAAAAATCTCCTATCCTGTTAGTTTTTAGACTCACAAAAATAAAAACACCTGTGCTGGCGTGGTCTAATTTATTATCCGTCTGGTCCGTGTATAGCGCTTAATCAACTGCGATTATTATACAGGCTCTTTAAACCCAAACTGATCAGCAGTAAATATTCCTTTGGCCCCAAATATGTCTGAGGGGGGTGAAATGAAATGAAATGAAATGAAATGGGGTTTAACGTCCTACTGTTCTCCTCCTTAACTGGGTTAATGAAGACGGGCATACGTCATACAGTGTGCTATGAGGGACATTTTGCCCGGGCAGCAGCGCTACGGCCTAACCTTATATCGAATTTCAACTGCCAAGGGATCTTTTACGTGCACGCCAATATGTACACGGGACCTCGGTTTTTCGTACCATCCGAACGACAAGACAGCTGTCTTTGTCAGGCCCTCCGTCCTGCATCACTGACAAGGGGAAACCACGCTGGAAAATCTGGATGAACTTTCTCGGCCAATGCAGGGATCGAACAACCGACCTCCACCCTAACGAGCCAGTGTCTTACCCACTTAGGTGTTATATGGGACTGTAAGAGGATGCCTGACAATTCAATAAAGTAATTGAATGTCATTAGATAAGAGAACACGAGAAAAATAGAAACAGTCCGTACATTCCCTTGTTTATATTCATTCTATACCTTATAAAAACATGGTAATGCACGGACTTTTTCTGTTTTTCTTTCGTGTTCTCTTATCTAGTTGCAGTCAATTCTTTTTATGAATTGTCAGATATCCTCTCACAGTCTCACACAAAAACTTTTGGTCTTGGAAGGATTTATTAGTGAGCAGAAATTCGCCCATGTATCTGTTATCACTCGTCACTTCAGTCAGTTATATAGAGGGATGCCTTGTGTTTTCCTTTGGCGTTCGCCACTTCCGATTCAGGAAACCTATATTACTCAGCTATCGTAGCAATGATCTCTGTGTTAAAATCATATTTGTAACGTGTTTAATTAGTTCTATCACATATGTGATAATGACTGACACCAATATTGTCCTTTAACACATAGACCTATACTTCACGTGAACTTAAAGGTTTTCGCTGTCTAACGGCACCTACTCCTACACGTCAGTGCAGATGTTTTTAGAAGAAAAAAAATCCCACTGTCTTTGCTGCGATCGATGTTGATAAGGTTGGAATGGCAACGTTAATTTTATTCATTATCGCCAGTTAATGGCGCAAGCATGATTTTAAAGCCCGCAACATTGTATTATTATCAGTTGTCAATTTAATGGACTATTGACAGATATATTTCAGTCAATAAAACTGGTTACTTCTGTTTGAAAGATACTTACATGTATTTGTCCCGACCCAATGTAACTGTCTGAAACTCTGATAAAGGTTCGCAGAAATGCAGACTTAACCATAAATCTCACAATATTACGCTATAAAAGAACATGGACAGTTGCTGACATTGCAAGTGTTCGTCGCGAAGGGTTAAACAATGTAATTCCTTAAATGAGCTTCAAAACTACCTTACGCAAATCCAGCTATCATTTTTGAACAACTCAAGATTTTGGGTTGACGCTGCTCTTTAGATTTTGGTGTTTGACTTGTATGTCCGTAAATCCATCAACGGATATTATGTGAAATCTGTGACCCCAATGACACGGTTGCTTACACCTGTAATGTGATCCCTATGACACAGTTGCTTACACCTGTAATGTGATCCCTATGACACAGTTCGTTTACATAAATATTGCAACGGCGCCCATAATGTTAAAACTTATAAACGTATTGACATGTTAGGTCCCATGTGATGGTTGCAATTAACTCGCACGTTAACTGGAATTTATGGTCACTTCGCCTAGTGGAATTGTTGCCTCACTGATATACCCAGTTGCGTTGGTTTCTTCTGAAACCCCGGAAATAACAGTCCAAAGATCCTGAGGCATGTCGGATTTTTCGATCACAGTTTTGTACGTGACCAGACGTAGAGTCGTCTACCTACCTCTGTGGGTTTCTCTGGGTATATCTGAACACATCATCCCAATACTCGTATGTTAGACGGTGATGTGTCATGGGTCACATATTTGTCGCGAGTAGAAGAACATGCATATCACACAGGGTTGGTGTTAGGACAATAAAATTATGTTTTTAAAGAATTAAACTTTGGAAGCTACGGCGAAGACAATAGTGTATATGTTTCCGCATTGTTGAGAATCTTGCTTTGAAACGCCACACGTGTAGTGGAATGAAATGAAATGGGATTTAACGACCTATTTTTCTGCACCAATCGGGGTAATGAAGATTGGCACAATTTGGCCTGGACAGCGTCTAGGTGTCATTTTAGCACCCCCAGACCCCTGTCCTACACCACTGCCAAGGGGAATACATACGTTTAGTATCCAGTGTCGTTTGTGTTAGAGTTTAGGCGTGGGGGAGTTCTTTGCGAGGGGTAACTTATCAGGATTTGGTAGCTGCATAGCATGCCGAGAGAACTAATGACATGGAAATTTCTGTTCCAAAAGAGTCTTGATAAATTTGTCGTGTTTCGTATTTTCCAGTAAAACGACCAGACTTTCAAGTGCACTAACACGTTGTTGACATGTCACAAAAACCTACTGCATCATTTGTTATTTTGAATTTGCTCGATGGTCAAATACAAACTGATTTGGTAGAAGAAAAAAAGACAATTGAATCTGAAATAGAACGCGGTTGATAAAACGTTCGGTTTCATTTTTCCACTCAATTTCCAAACCACGAAATGTCAGGAGCAAACAATATATCATGCAGGAAGGTCATTCTTTATATAGCTTCAGTAAAGAATAATGTGAAATCCACTTTTAAAGGCATAATTAAGGACGGGACGCATTTTAAAGGGTTGGCTTAAATTATTGCCGTTCTTTAATTTTGTCTAATTCATCCATTGACTTTTGCAATTTGCAATTTGGCTAGGGTTGATTGTTTTCTTCCTTTCAAATCTTGAGTTAAAAGAAAACGAAAGTAAAAAGGAAAATTCTTATCTAAAAGGGTATTTTAATGGTGGAAACCTATAACTTTAAAAATTTAATCTGCAAAAAATAATTCTACTTACATTTACAGTTACAGATTTCACCATAATGCTTTTAGATAAGAATTTTCCCTTTTATTTTTGATAATATAGCATTTTGAACCAGATGCCCCACCATACTTGGTGGGAATGTGCATTCTCGACTTAAAATGATGAATTAAGTATTTTTTTCCGAAAGTTCCATCGATCTTTGGGTCTTAAAAACGTATGTTCCCAAAGCCAAATATTACCTTAACAAATATGACTACGAAATAAGCGAATCGTTAGGATAGGTTATGTAAACAAGCGTTTTAAAATAAATGCTTCCATATATTGGTTGCAGGCATGTGCATTAATATATACATATAGAGTGCGTGTTTTTATATGATATCATTTGAGGTTGTATAACAGTTTCGTGTATTGTTTCTTTTTCGTGTCAGGAAATCGGCTTTATTTTTGGCAATTTCGTTACTTACTTTTAATGTAAACGTTCTTTTTTAGCATTTCAACCAACGTTTTGCTATGTTACTCACTCTTTGAGGTCCTTTCCGTCGACTTTTCTTCTCTCATAAATTGAAATACAACAACGGTGGGCGTATCAAAAACGCAGACCGGCTGTATATCCAAAACGAAATATAGGTTCGACGTTCTAAGATTAATACAATATGTGGCTTTCGTTTCAGTGCCTGCGTCTCATATCATTTTTCAATTGTTTTTCCATACTATAATAATAATAACGTAAATAATAATAAACTAAACCAGACCTTGAAATCCACGTTTTATGAGTTGTTTGACAGCACAACACAAATACGTTATTACGTTTAACAGTCGGTTGATAAATCACAACAAACATTCAACATGCGGAACGAAATTGCATTGATAGAAACACAGCCCGACAAAAAATAATACGGAACGAAAATATATGTAATGGTTGAGACGGCGATTGCATTTTAAGATGTACTTACTTACAAGGTTAATGCGATATTGAAAGACTCTTTTACGACGTCTTGTTTATATTTTATACTGCATACCAAGACATAACAATCCGAAGTGAACCGTTAGAATACTACAAAAGAGAGAGAGAGAGATGTATTTGCGCCCCGGGGTCTTTAGCATACCGGAGCACCCAGAGAAAATCAACGAGGTTAGATAGGTGATCCTTCTCCTTTATACATACACGCCTGAGATCGAAACCAGATACACTTGACTCAAGGGCAGACACCTTAAAAGCTTATGTGGAAGACCACTCGGCCACCCAACTTCCTTACTAGGTCTATATAAATGACTGTTAATTTAAAGACAACATTGGTCTGCACTATCTGGTACACTGCTTTATTCCATTCCATATTTTTTATTCTGGTGTTCCTAGTTAATAGTCTAATATCTTTTATTTTTAAGGACCAGACATACATGTATGATGACGTTACCAAAATGAGGGTGTTTTGTGACCAGCTTATGATGACGTCACCAACACAGAGAAACGAAGTGGAGTAGAGATGCATGCTGCGTGACGATGTGTAAAACGGAAAGTGAAACGAAATTCCACTTAATAAAAAGACCCCCGAAAACAAGAATTCAAAAAGTATATATATTGAACAATTAAACAACAGCACCCCTCGGCTTTAATCAGCTTCATGCAAACATTTAATTTACCTGTGAACATGGTGCGTTTGACCAACTAAATTCAAGATATGAATTTATGGAATGTTTTTGACCAATGACCCAGTCAATAATGTGATTTCCGATTGACGGAGGAAAATGAGACATACTTTCTTCGCGCATGATCTGTTGATATAGACAATTACTTAGACATAGTAAGGAACGACGACGTTACGGAACATGCGCAAAAAGGACGGGTGAATTTCGGATGTACCATAAAAATGTCAGTGCAATGTAAACTTTTAATTAGTTTACATATTATTAACATAACTACAATGAAAAGGAGGTGGCGCGGATATAAGGTACATCCGGGTATTAAGAATGGCAGGTAGTATTTGATAGTTAGCAGAATGATATCGACAATCCCTGAGTAGGGAGAGATAGATCAAAAGACATAGTTTTTGTTTTCATCTCCTTATTTTATATAACTTCATTTTTTTTTTTAATTTATGTTTATTTTTCTGGTAACAATGTATTTTACTAACCCGTTGTTTTTTTCTTGCTTTTTATCCAATTCTATTTGTATGTGTTGAAAAATTGAGGAATTTTAGTGTTATTCGCGAGCCATCTTATTTTATAGGGCACTAGAATTTAATAACGTGCCTATGTGTGTGTGTATGTTTTTTGTTGGTTTTTTTTGTTTTTTTTTTTCGAAGGAGAAGTGGCGCGGGGCGGGGGTGGGGGTGGCATAACATTTCAGCATCTGACATTTAGAACAAAGTATTAACTCTGCTCTGAAGCACGTCTTTATGTTAAAGGGCGTGTGCCTCTTTTCTTTGGAACATTAAAACTGACGAAATGGGTCTAAAAGCACAATTTAATGGTCTAAAAGCACATATGGTCTAAAAGCACATATTAATGTAGTATGAATGTATATAAAGTGATTTATAATACATTTTTAAAATATATATTGTAATTTTTAACCAATGAATCAGTCCAAATTGAACGACAGTCGTTTCAGTCTGCTTAGTTCATTCTACATGGGTCTTTTTAGTTTTGTTGTTATTTTTACCCCCCGCGTTGCCGTCTGGGATATGTTTTCAGGCGGCGTTAGAAACCTTTATATCCATAGAATACACGACTCGTGCACTGATTAAAATATGTTCATTATGTCTTAAATATTGGATAGTATAGGATCCCATATTTTCACGGCAAAATAACAACATCAATATTGATTGAAATGGACCAATATTGAATTCTAATTCATGTTTTTAATTTCGACTATTATGGAAAATATTAAATTAGAAGTTTAGATCCTTATATCAACCCAGACCTAATTATTGAAAATCAAAATGTGTTTTTTTGGTTGCGCTTCAGAGACGAATCAATCGTATTCCTTGAAAGTTTAAAAGTCAATCGTCGAGTGTTTCATGTCATTCAGCATAACCATATGTAATTGTCTTTGAATGTTAATTGTGTTATAGCCGTGAACACGGAGAGCGTAACGATGGCTACTTCTTTAATATTGATATACTTAACGGTCTGCTAAATGTCATCCTCATACCTTAAAAGTCATTGGATAAATCTCTGATATAATTGCTACTTACCAACCCTGCATAAATGATAACATGACACCAACAAAAGATGGGGGTGCAGGGGTTAATCACGCAAAAAATCAAATCAGATAATTACTAAATAATCAAAATTCTACAAACCAAAGGAATCCTGGAAGAAAATGTTTGTTAAGCGTGGTCATTAAGTGTTATTTATTGGAAATCTTGTATAAAATATGTCATCCGACAGAAACACATATAAATAATGATCTTGATTTTAAATTCGTTTGCTATTTAATTACGTTATTGAAGACATACTATAGCTTTGTTGTTTTGATAGACCTAATATATGTAATATTCTTATACAGCAGAATGATAATTTGATGGGTCTACCACACCATAATTTCTTGCAGAGGTTTGGTGATGCCCGAGGTCAACTCCTTGATTGTTTGCCCCCAATAATCATGCATACATTTTTTAAAATTCAAATTAAGTACAACATAAGCTAAGATGGGCAATTTCACATTTTTAAAAACTTAATTTGAATTTCACTATTTGAAATGGATGGCCGCCACTTCCCCCACTCCCTCCCTCTATCTATCTCTCTCTCTCTCTCTCTCTCTCTGCACGTAACTGTTCGATCGTTGTGTGAATGATTCTGGAAGTCGTAAATTGTAAAATCTGTTTTATATCAAAATCCACTTACCCGTTATAAATGGAAAATACTTCTTGAAATTGTAAGATCAGATTGCACACTAACATTATATTAATTGACCGGGGACTATAGGAAACTATTTCGTCCCGTCATTGTTTTGATTCAGTTTATATTTAAAAATGCTTCGATATTATACGTTGAACCCCATCTCATTTCAATTCATTTGTTTAGACGCTATTTCACACGTTATGAATTAAAAAAGTACTTCTTGAAAGATTTTATTTTAAACTAACCTAATGTTAATTGACTGGGGACTTTGAATCTATTTCGTCCCGTCATTGTTTTCATTTCAATTTATAGTTTTAAATGCTTAGATCATATTATGCTCGATCACTTGTTCCTTTGATTGGTTGATTTGATTCTTATTGGATTTGAATATTATTGAAAAACGGATTTGAATTCAAAACACTACAACGGAATTAATATTTTAAGGTGTTGTTTCATTAACCTCATGGTAGGCCTCTGAATCGGACACTGACTTTATAACCGTTTTCATTTTTTCGTCGTACACTACCGTTGTCTCTGTCTTTCTGTGGTCCATATTTCCTCGAGGACCCTTTCGTGACATAGGCATTGTTTATATTAGATACTGTATAAAAACAAACATATCATTACGGCCCTTGGAAACTATATTTTGAGGAAGATTGTTGATATTCAACAGTTATGGAAAATACTAATTAATTGGACGCAATTGTTTCACTAAATTGCGACTGTTTTTTAGTGGTCCGAACGACAAAGCTGTTGATATTTGTTTTGTTGTCAGGTAATCTTTCTTTTAATAGTGTTATAACATGTTATTTATAAATATCATCCCTATACTGTAAAGGTGTATATAGCTTGCAATGATTAACGTTTTGTGCGTGTCATTGGTTCCAATGAACAGTTACGTCTTTTTCAGGCTGGACTGGGCGCATGAATGCTAAAATCCAATCCTTTCTTTTGGCTTATTTAAATTTAGTTGATTAAAACAAATCACAAATTATAGTAATACTTGTTGTAAATTGTGAAAAAATCCAAATATTTGACTTTGTGTTCTGTTTATCTGTTCGTTCGTCCATTTTAATGTTTGTTATGTTATTGTGTAAATAATGAAAGCGTTGTGAAATAAAATTATATATCCAGTTCTTTAAACATTACTTTGTTTTCTGTTTATATTGCCGTGTTAAGGAGGCATTATCACATTTAACTAGAAACTAAATATTAAATTGCATTCAAATCATCTTATGGCACACCTAATTAGCAACAATGCAAGGACTGAATTTCGCTCTCGATGTAACAACTGTACATGGGGGGGGGGGCTGAATGGTTAGCGTGCGCGCGATGTATCATAAAGTCTGTCATTGAGTCGACTGGCGTGGTTTCGAATCCTCGGTTGTACGTGACAAGGAGTAGGGTCGCCTGTCCAACCTCGCGGGTTTTCTCCGGGCCCCGGTTTTCTCCTACTGCTAAAGACCCCTATGCGCAAGCGAATTATTGAAATAAAACTAAAACCATATGTTAGTCCCGAAATGACCTAGTTTGTGTCGAGTGGAAGTTAAACCCCATCTCTCTCTCTTTCTCTCTCTCGCTCTCTCTCTCTCTCTCTCTCTCTCACACACACACACAATTGTACATATTCAGAGTATACTTTCCTATCCACTTCTCTAAGTTGGATGGCTTGTTTGGGATATGGGAACTGGTGTTTTAACTGCGGCCCTGTGAATAAGGATGTCTAGGTTTGGCTTCCGGTGTTTCCCGATAAGGTTCCTCAGTGGTGCAAGACGGAGGCCATGACAAGGAACAGCATGTAATGGCTCTGCTGGAACGAATAACCGAGGTCCGGTGTACACGTTTCGGTGCACATAAAAGAACTTTAGACAGTTGGAATTCGAAATAACAGTGGGTTATTGCGCCACTGTCCGGGCAAAATTTCCCTCATAACAAACTGAAGCACGTATTCATTAGAACATTTGCTGCAGAAAAGTAGGAAGTACGGTGGCGATATACTCCCCACTGGGAAGGGGGTAGATATAACGGGAAATATTTAGTGGTGATGATGAGCATGGGATCGAGTGTGTGTTGGGGGGGGGGGGGGGTCCGTTCCGTCACTGCAGCTTTGGATGGGCTGTAAAAACGAACAAATGGATATCTTTATTCCGCAAGTTTATCATTAAAAAATGCACAAGATTATACAACTTAAAACATCGGTTGAGACGTGTTCGATTGTATTATCTGGAAGCGCTCGAGTTAACTATCTCGAGCGCTCGACTTAGTATCTCAAGCGCTCGACTTAGTATCTCGAGCGCTCAAGATATTATTTTTGTGGCGTGCCGTAATTCAGCCACCGTACTGACGTTCCAGTTGACCGTTGATTTAAAAGGGGTTCGAAGTTTTCAACATGCAGACTAAATTAATCCCCTGCAAGCTATCTACTCGGATAAAAACAACCACCCCCCGCCAATCCTTGCAGGATAGAAAACTCATTCCAAACTAGTGCATGTTTCTCTCACTGCAAACAAAGTTATCATATATCCTTGACAACTCATATTGTCCATTATCAAAACCCCAAACCGCTAGCTATGTGCTCTGCATCGCCATGTCGTGTATCTGCTAAACACCTACAAACAAACCGATACGCACCAATATCTTAATTCTCACTCATGCCACCCCTCTCATACCAAACGAAACATTCCATATAATCTAGCCAGGAGAGTATGTACAATTGTTTCAAGTTCTATCATCAAAATTCAGCGACTATCAGAACTGAAAGCTTTTCTATTGAAACAAGAATACCCACGTGCTCTCATAGAGAACGCAAAAAAGTGGGCCTTAGGTTTAGATCAAAGGAAACTAAGGTTACCAAAAGCGCCATCAAATTGTGAAAAACGAAACGTTGCTCTTGTGACATTTAATCCTCCACAAGAAGATGGGAAGTCCTTGATAAACCAAAATTCTCACATTTTAAAGAACAGTGAAGTTATGACTAATATCTTATCAAAGACTAAGATTATCAATAGTCTGAAACAACCCAGAAATCTAGCTAGATTATTAACATCCTCAAAATTTGATAGCATTCAAATGACACCAGCGGTAACGAAATGTGGGGGAAAAAGATGCAAAACTTACAAAATATTAATCAAGGGATCCTCCATCCAGATTACTGTAGACAAACTTTTCCACATCCAACAATCTATGAATTGCAAAACCAGTTATGTATTCTATACGATTGTTTGCCCTGGTTGTAATGGACGGTATA